CTATATATCTCATTCTTTTTCTTTGAAAAAAAATTAAAATATTTGAAATATATAATAGTTCTTTTTCAATTAAATTCAATTCTTTCAAATAAAATAATTTAAACTTTTGTAAGTACATGTTGATGTAAAAGAAACGGCAATACGGCCAAGGCCATATCCCATACGACTCCTCGCAATATGCGCTATACTTTACACAGCACATGGATTTTTATTGTGACCGTAAAGTGAAAGTAGTCAAACGGGATTATTTCAAACAGCAAGTGGAATATAAAATATATCAAGAATTCAAATGGTAATGAAGATTTTTATCATTTGTATTACTTCGGTATTTATATTTCACATTATTTATTTTATATCGCTCCGCTTATTTTTAAATTGCTGTTTATTTGAAATTCATAAGAAGATAGGATAAATTGAGAATCTTTCCTCGCCACAGCAAGTAATATCAAGATATATATATATATATATATATATATATAATTGATCGAGATATTTAATAGTATATCATGCATAATATTATACATTTATAGTAATTAATTTTTTGCTTGGTTCCTTTTCATCAATTAACGTTCCTTTTCTTTTTGCTTATCTTTATGTGCATTTAATTTTCAGCCATAAGTTATAATTTGCGTCGCTATTGTATGGTAATACTTACGGTAAAAAATATGTTAATGGTTGCCATAAAGGAAATGTATAGCGTATATAGGTATTCTATTCCACGCCATATACTTAGTGGCTATATAAACTGCGCAACATATATTATCCGTTACTTCCTTTCTTTCCACGTCCGAAAAAACACTTAATGGTCTTGCGACAAGTTTTAATGAGATATACGAAGGATTTCCATACATCACAGCTGATTCATTTCTGCTCGATGTAGAAAAATAAATTCTTTCGGAATTTCTTTGCTTATTTCACAATAGAATATAAACCGAAAATGTAATTATATAAATATCAAATTGCAATTAAAGCAACAAGATAAATTTGTAACGCTCGATTTAAGCGCTTGAAAAGAGGCAAACAGAAATATTCTTTTATTTAGCTTTGAATTAAATAATATATTATTTGTCAAACTTTTTTGTTTCTTCTACCTTTATCAACGAACGATTATTTAAACAGACATTCGAAAACGAAAACGAATATTCGCAATTAACCTATTAAGAGGATACGCTATTAATTTTCAGATATTAATTTTCAAAAAATCAATCTTCATATTTTTCGAAAAATTAATATCTTAGAATTATATATCCTAAAAGATTTTAATAAAATTCGAAGTATTTCTCAAGTTGTATAAGTATAATAAAAGCGTGCTTAATTGACTGTTCGCCCTTTTAACCTAACGACTTTTAATCTAACTTAAGCCCTATCCAGTCCTACGTGTTTAGGCTATAAAAATTCCCTCATCTATGTAGTTTATTATATTCGTTTCACCAATTCATTATAATAAGCTGGTAAATTCGACTGATAAATAATTGATATGATTGATTGACTGAAACTTTAAATGTGTTTTCCTCGAAATCATTTTTTTTTCAACTGGCAGCGTCTATAACTCGAATAATTTTAATTAATTTTAAGTTTCGAGAATAATTTCACAAAATAAATAATTTCGTGCCTTAATTATTAACGCGCCTTTTAATTTTCGCAAGTTCGGTGTATTAGATAGATGTAATTTATACATAAAAACATTTTTCATTTATTATTTTATTATTTAAATTTTATTAGAAATATTTGCTACGTTCGAATACACACGTTTCAATATCACTAAAAATCTATACGATATGAACTATACATTATCAATATATATGATATATATTCAATATATGATATATACATATACTATAAGTTTTCAATATTGGAACGCAATCTTTAAATGGGACAACCAATAGCATACAATAGCGCTGATTGGCCAATTAAATATATAAATTTTTTTTCCAAAATGTTTTTACTAGAAAGACTAAATTATATTTAATTAAGAGTAAAAGTTGATAAAATAACATTGCCAACGATCCATAAAATTTTCAATGTGCTTGATATTTGTTTGTTTATATCGCAAAAGTTAGGCTTATAAATTTTTCTTTTTGAGTACCAAAGCAACAGATCTATTTGAATAAGTTTGACATCATTATGAGATTTACTTGAAACAATTTTCTTGTTAGTATTATGTAATATGTATCATTTAGATAAATATATTATTTATTTAATTTTAATTAAGACGAAATTCAAAGTATATTGCAGCATATTACATAAGTAACATTACATAATATCTTTTTCATCAATATTAACTTTTACTTCTTCAAATACTTCTTCAAATATGTATGTCAAAAATCCATCAGAAAGATCTGCTAAAAGGTAAACTTCACTCACGCAACTGCGAGCATTGTCTTAAGGGGGATCTAATTTAGAACTTTCACTAAAAATCGAAATGTTTTGCATATTTTTATATAATTATAATTTTAATTCTAAAAATATACCAATTTATTATTATACAACATTTCAAGAATATGTTCCTATATTATTTCGAAATTCAAGGAATTAACGAAGTTATAAGCGATTTACCGCAGACAGTCATCCAAGTCATCAGAAACCGAAGTGCATGAGGAGTTCTTTTTATGATATCTGGAGAACTTAAGATATCCAAACAAAGGAGACTCGTAATTATGATTTTCTCAGATAGCAATGGCATAGCAATGGCCTTTATATACGTGTTTCGATTTTACTAATTGTAACGATTATAATCTCAGTAATCTTTTAAATTTAATTTTTTTCTCGAATTTTGATTCGAACGGACGTATAAATTAACATTATCACAGAAAAGAAAATATCAAAGAAGATTTCATTTAATTGGTCCTAAAAGTTATGGAAACGGTGGATATAATTATCGATCAGCAATGCAAGATGTTTGCTGATTACGTGGACAAAACAGCGACTTGCGTGAGCCGAGATCAAGAGCGTTGAAGCCATGAAAAAGGCTTGTATTGCCGGCCGAAGCAACTTAGAGGAGCTGTAAGAGTTCTTTGAAGAAGTGGTAGGTCTGCTTTATCGGCTACCAAAAATAGCAGATTAACCTGGAATTAACTGTAACTATAAAAAGTTTTATCTTAAAATACTACTGAAAATTTAAACGTGTTTTTTTCGAAATCGTATTTGTCAATCAGCCCATTGACATCAGAATTCAAAAACTTATAATCAGATCGGATTTCAGTTTATGGATAATTTAAAGTAAACTGTCATATCTTTGGTGTGAACTTATAAAACCTAAAAATGTTAATAATTTTTTTGTGAAAAAAACGTGTCAAAAATATGACGAGAAAAATCTACTTATATATGATTAAATCAGATCAAAATCCACATGCAATTATGTCTATAAATTTGTAAGTATAATTATATGTAAATCAATCGAAAAAAATATAAGTTTTGCCCGAGAATGTATTGCTTTTAAAAATAATTTGAGTTTTGAAAAGTGATGATAGCTGTATTGAATTAGATAAATAGATGTAAGTAATCAAATTGTGTAGTATCAAGTACGAAATTGATAAATTGCGGAGACGCGATAAACAGACATATTGTTTTGTTGTGAGAAAAAATAACTATCGAAGTTTTAATATTCAGATTTGAATTTCACAATGTATTTTGCAAATATTTTGAAATTATTAAAAGTCTTTGTTAACAATGTGTTTACGTTGAATAAATATCTGAAGGATCATTAAGTTGTAAAATTAAATTAACATTGGCTTAGTATAATTTCTTTGCGTTCAATGAAATTATTGTTCAATATCTTAACGCTTGGTTTTTAAAAACATCATACTAATTATAAGCAGAATTTCACATTCGCTCTTTAATCTATCACGTTTGCGTAATGCCTATTTAGTAAATACAATCACACGCATATTACGTTTGTCATACATATTGTATTGAAAACAAGTTTAGCGATTAGTAGCGATATTTAGACTTTTTTAAGAATATCAGTTATCAATAGATATAAATATACAAAACATTAACAATATTTTATCTTATTTGCTTACTTATTACATAATATATTATCTGCAGCTATTAAATAATTAATTTGCAGAAATTTATTTTTTAATATTATGTAATAGCAAAATTTATTCGCTATTAAATGTATTTTGTCATCTTCCAATAGAAAAATAACAACATCTAATAAGCATTTATTTATGATTTTAATTAGTAATTAATATACATAGAATCTCTATCTATCTAGCCATAGGTATAATCATTGTTGATTGCGTTATGTTTATAAAAATGTACAAGTATATCATATATTATAAATAATATATACGAATAAATAAAACACGTTAATGGGTTTTTCATGATTATCAGTATCGTTGTGATCGTTCTACTTTTTGCAGGATTATTGGAGCGTGATTTATAGCTAAGAACGAGAAAGCATAAATAGATCATGTCAATAAATATACGCGTACACGCGCGCACATGCACAAAATTATGGTGGCCGGGACTCTAAATAAAATAAAATAATACATACTACGTGATTCTGTGAAGCGATTTCGTGCAAATGACGCATAGGAAGATGCTCGTATAAACTGTTAACTCCGACAGATTTCAAATTTCGTTTAATAAAAGCACAGTCTTAGCTTTAGCCTTACGGCAGCATATGTATTACGATCAGTCAACTCAGCTCAAGATGTGGCAAAGAAAAGTGATATGATGCAACGATATGATCATCTCTTCAAAGATTGGATCTAATCTTCTCGGATATTGACTGCGCTATATCATACTCTGTGCTATTCTTTGCCCCCCTCCCCCTCCCCTCCTTCTGACCGTCAATAGAGGCGGTACGGTAACATCGATGGAAACTTCGGTATTCAACCCCCTACTGCCACTAACCCCCTTCCGTCATACTCGCTGCTTCTCATTTCCCCGTCTTTTCTTCTCTGTCTACCTCGTTTCTTCTCCTATAACTTCAACAATTCCAATAGTCGTTAATCTGTTGGAAACTTTCGGAAAACTTGCCGTTATTGCAGGTAGACCGGGCGGGACCGTACGAGTTGGATAAGAGAAGAAAAGAGAGTCTCGGAGAAGAGAGAAACGAGAGAAACAGAGAGATCTGGAGGAGAAGAGGAACGATGAAGTGGGGAATTCGAGTCTGACTGTATAAGGAGGTGGGTGGTTCGGGAGGGTGGCTCAGGGTGCTGAGGGTGTTACAAGGGTGCAGGGTGGTAAGTTAAATAAACTTGTTTAGTTTCGCGGAAAGTTCCGCACGGCCATTGTATTCGACTGCTGTGCTACCGAGTTTGCTGCGAAAGTTTCGAATAGGAACGAACTCACTTCCCCATTACGCTTTATTCGCTTGTTTTGCTGGCCTGTCCTCCCCCCCTTCCCCCCTCCCGCCACGCCTCGTCTCGCGACACGCCGCACCATGCCACGCTACACCACGCCACTGTATGCCAAGTCAAACCGTGTCGAATCAAGCTGAGTCATGTTGCCAAATCATTTTTACAATGATACTGCAAATATTTATAAATCAATTTTAATTATATGAAGATTATAAAAATTTTAAAGAATCCTTGGGGTTCAATTTAAAAGTGACTTATATGTTCATGTATGTTCGATGTATGTTATTATTATTATTACCACTCAATTATTTAATTTCATGATTTGGTATGATTTCATGTTTGGTATGATTTATATACTGGTTATGATAATAATGATAAAAAAAAATAGTCAACAGCTCGACAAAAGAGTTCGGTAAGAGTAAAAACTTATATAAAAGCGTAAATTAATATTACCTAGCGATACGCCATTGCATTTAATTTGCAATACATAATAGACTTTTGATTATATTGTACGGTACGTCGAGGTTCTTACACTCACTGTTCGAGGCCTCATTGCGTGACGAGCACTTCGTCGGTTAGATTTCGTATATGCAATGTCGCAAAGATTATATACATCGATAATTATCTATGATTTACATTTGTTTATTAATGACAATTTAATGACTATTTTTATTTGTGTTATTAATCCTGTTATTGTTCATAAAATATATTTTATAGATAATGATAAGAATAGATAATGATAAGTATTTTAACTTGCAAATACCGTCCGAATTGAGATTTTTTTTTAGAAGAATCAGAATATTATCGAAATTAATTAGAGAGCATCCGAACAAAAACGGGAAAAAATATAGAAAGAAAGAAGACGATATAGTACGATTATTCGTGCTGCAGGTGGTAGTGCTGCGATGGCGAAGTGACCTTGGCAGTCAGGAATCCGGTCTGACAACATGGATCGAAAC